TGACTTCTCTGACTTGTTGCTGTGGGAGGTGGGAAGGTCAGAGACACACCCGGCACACACACACACACACATGCTGAAAACGGATTCACTTTTGGTTTTGTTTAAAAAAAAAAAAAATTGCAGCCCGGGCCGCGGCTCACTAGGCTAATCCTCCGCCTTGCGGCACCGGCACACCGGGTTCTAGTCCCGGTCGGGGCACCAGATTCTGTCCCGGTTGCCCCTCTTCCAGGCTAGCTCTCTGCTGTGGCCCAGGAGTGCAGTGGAGGATGGCCCAAGTGCTTGGGCCCTGCACCCCATGGGAGACCAGGAGAAGCACCTGACTCCTGCCATTGGATCAGCGCAGTGCGCCAGCCGCGACAGCCATTGGAGGGTGAACCAACGGCAAAAGAAAGACCTTTCTCTCTCTCTCTCTCTCTCACTCTCCACTCTGCCTGTCAAAAAAAAAAAAAAAAATTGCCGATAACGAAGTCCATAGCTATCGTGTTTCTTTTCTTCTGTTTATCCAAACATTAATCGGATTTCCAAGAGATTAAAATTCTAGCAGAACTATGAAAATTACTAAAATGTCTTCACCTACTGGGCAGGATGTGAAACAACTGTAAAGATGGTGGAGGAAGGTTCTAGATGGTATGTCTGCTGGCTTATGGAAGTTAGGTGGCACCTCCAAGTGCCTTCCTGCCCCCAAAGGACTAAGGCAAATGAGTGTGTGTGGCTCAGAGAAGGGACCATGTTGCCGGGATACCCACAGCCCTGGCTGCCGTGCAGGAAGGGATTCGGCTGGGCCAGGATCTTAGCTCTGCCACTTAATGAGCTGTGCGATGCTGGGCAAGTCACTTCACGTCTCTGAGTCCTAGTTCTCTCATCTGAAAATGGTTATTGTGAAAGTCAATGAAATAAAGCAGGTCACCCCCACACACCCCCCACACACATACTCAAACTGCTTGTTGCATAGTGTTTGATAAATGGCACCTGTTGGGATTGTTTTGTTATTATCACTGTACCAAGCACAAGAGCAGTGTGGCTGGCAGGGAGTGACGTGTGCCCAGGCCACATGCTGGTGGCACTCTGTGCAGGGGTACAGTTCCCACCGCACCCTCGAGGTCCGGCAGTCTGGGGAGTCTGACTTCTCTCTCCTTTTTATAAGCCCCCCGGGTCCAGTTCAGTGCCCAGCACACAGCAGTGGGTCTCCATACTTGAATAAACCAAAATAGTAGTTCTCTCCCTCTCTCCCTGTGTTTAAAATATTTGCTATCGAATTCACCCAATACTGTATCTCCCCCTTGTCTAGTTCCCCCATAATCCATCATGGCCCAAAAATCTTTTTTTTTTTTTTTAAGATTTATTTTCTTTATTTGAAAGAGTTACAGAGAGAGGCAAAGCCAGAGAGAGAGAGAGGTCTTCCATCTGCTGGTCCATTCCTCAAATGACTGCAATGGCCAGAGCTGAACTGATCTGAAGCCAGGAGCCAGGACATGGGTGCAGGGGACCAAGGACTTGGGCCATTTTCTACTGCTTTATCAGGCCATAGCAGAGAGCTGGATTGGAAGTGGAGCAGCTGGGATGCGAACTGGCATCCATATGGGATGACGGTGCTGCAGGCTGGGTTTTAATCCTCTGTGCCACTGCACCGGCCCCTAAAAATATTACTTTAATGCAGTAAAGCATGAGGATATTTTAGAGAGCAAGAGACCACAATCATATAACTTTTGTTACACTCTATTGATGTTCTATTTTATTACTAGTTATTGTTGCTAATCTGTTACTGTACTTAATTTGTAAGGTAAACTTTATCATAAGGATGCATGTATAAGGAAGAACAGCCTCCAAGGTTTGGTGCTGTCTGCAAGCATCTACTGGGGGTCTTGGAACACATCCCCCAGGGGTAAGGCAGGGAGGCAGCTGAATATTGAATGAAAAATAAAGCGGTGGGGCAATTTTCTGGGTACAAAACTGTCTAAGGTAAATGGGTGGCTATTAATCAAATGCCAAGCACCTAATATCTCCAGTTCGTGGCCAGAAGCATCCACAGATATTTTAATTTCCTCTCTGAAGTCATTTGCAGTGTAGTTGGGTACAAAAGATAAACACAGAGGAAGACACACAATGTATGAAGTCAGCGCCTCTCCCCACGTTATCTCACCATGCTGATAAACTGTGTTCGACACTGCAAGGCTATTTGATAAATCATAATACAGAAAGTATCCTAAGATAGTATGTGGTGATTTGCTGATTGAGTTGTAGAGACAGTGACTGTGTCCCGATGAGAGAAGCACGAGGGGTTCTGGGGACACACACAGACACTCCCTGATAGGAAGAAACAGATGCAAAAGAAGCGAGGTTTTCTGCGGGCTGTAGTGCAGGGGTAATGGAGCGGACACGGCATGCGCAGGCACCTGGAGGCAAAGGGTTTAAGAAACTGTGAGACGAATGGGCCGATTTTAGTTCAGTGGAAGCAAGGTTGTCCCGTGTATGAGGCGTGGCGATGGCTGCATGCCCTTACCTGCCCCAATACATACCTGTGCGAAGTGCATACCTCACTGGATGTGGAATGAAATCACAAAACGCTGAGGAAGCGTAACTAGCACAGGGTGAGTGGAACTCTTGAAAAGCCTAACTTCTTAAGCGAGGCAGTGTTTGCGAAATACAGGGTTTCTTTGGAGGTTCTTGTTTCATCGTGTTAAAGACATAAGAAAATTCAAGGAGCACAAAGATTCTCACCTTAAGAAAATATCCAGAATAAGAGTGTGCAGGGCACCAGAGGGTGTTTATATAAAACTGAACATGTTGAAAAGCAGCACCTGAAAATAGAAAGGCACCTTGGCAAAGGCCAGGCCCCTTGTCATCCCTTCTCTGGAATTCCTCACTCTGTGCCCCGCTACTCATTCTACTCTAGGGAGTGACAGAACACAGCCTGTAACAGGTGCAACCAACCCATTCCATAAGTAGAGAGAAAAATGGGTTTTCATGTTAGAAGGCAAAACCTGAAAATGATAGGGAATATGAAAATGCACGGGTTTCAAAGTTTTTTGGCACCAAAATAAACTTACCTTTTGATTCCATTTTCCTCGAACTTTTTGAAGCACCCTCATAGGCTCATGCATCTGAGTGATCAATAGAAAGATTCCTTTTCTACAACCTCACCGCCTGCCGGGTCCCACTCTCTGCCTTCATTTCCCTTTAAAGTCTCATTATCAAAAAGCAAACAGAAACTTGGAATTAATCACCACACATTTCTGTAGGTTGTGACTGGCTGTTCCCTGAACCATGTTGGCTCGGTTTAATGGACAAAAACTTGGCATGAAACCTTATTCCTTATGATCCTGACATTATTACATCATCCCTCCTATTCCTTCTGGAAGAGACAAAAGCAATGAGCAGGCCTTTCCCATTGATAAAATTAAACTCCATTTCATTAGTCATTATACAGCTATGCATAAGAAAGAGGCAGTGACGTAAAACAAAAACATTCAATCTTCTTAATATGGCAGGATAGAGCCACACTGCCCAGAGTGCTGAACCAACAGTTGTTGTGCCACATCCACTTTATGAAAACTGTCACCAACTGGAATATCACACAGCCAGCTGCCAGAGTCTAGAAACACAGATCCAGAACCACGAGAAGACTGTTACTAGAACGTAACGTGGCTTGATCATCTCGTGTCAAAGCAAATGTCAGGGCAGATTCCTACTGCGAATATTCACCCGTGGGAGCGCTGGTTGATTCTATTTTGAGTTCTCGTGTGTTATTTGACATGAACGAGTAAAACTGGAGGAACTTCTTTCCGTAATTATATTGTCTTGATTTAAAATAATTTTAAGTTTCATGAGTATACCTTAAGAATAAAAGCCTAAAAATAAATAAATAAATAAACTCCTCAAATGGTGTCTTTGTTTAAGTCCAAAGCCACCATGTAATTGGCATTATTAAGACAGTGTCCAGAGCCACAGAAAGCTTGGTGGATGCTTCCGCCTTGTGTGGTGAATCAAGGTGAGGAAGCAAGACAAGCAGCCTTGCTAACCTCATCAGCACAGGTGCTGCTTCCTGCAGAATTCGCTACATCCAGGTGCAGAGGGCCACCTGCAGGATTTCACTAGGGTGGAAGCCCACCAGGCAGTCAGAGATGTGATGGGCAGGTTTCTGTCCACATTAAGGGGCGGCTTCAAACGGACAGCAACTCAGGTGTTAGTGCAGCTTTTTATCTCCATTTTTGTAGAAATAAAAAATTTAGCTCCATTTGTGCTTTATTCCATACCTTGACTGCGAAATTTGTTTGCTGGTATTAAAGAAGGTTGGTATTGGTAGGAAAGATTCCTTGTAAGAAGCAGGCATGTTTGGGGCCGGCATGGTGATGCCATTGGTTAAGCTACCACTTGCATCTTGCATTGCTGGCATGGCATGTCAGAGCGCTGGTTTGAGCTCTGCTCCCCACCCGGCTCCTTGCTAATGGGCCTGGGAAAGCAGCGAAGGACGGCCTAAGTCCTTGGGCCCTGCTACCCGTGTGGGAGAACATGGGAGTCCCAGCTTCCTGGCCTCCTCCTGGCCCAGCCTCAGCTGTTGGAGCCCTTTGGGGGAGTGAACCAGAGGAGGGAAGGTTGTGCCCCCTCTCTCTCTCCCTCTGTCACTCTGCCTTTCAAATAAATAAAATAAATCTTAAAAGAAGGAAGCATAGTTTGGCCGTGATAGAAATGTTCTCAGAGATTGTTCTGGAACATCACAATATGGAAGTCCTGCGCAGGGAGACCCACCAGCCGGCGGCCATCTGCCCCTTCCTTCCTAGTCGTGGCCCTTGTGCCTTCCTCCTCACCACAGCCTCTGCTTCTCCCCCAAGGCCTTGGCTGCCCTCCTCACTCTCCTGGACGGTGCCGGGCCCGCCCGTGGGTCTCCCGGGTTATCTGTCCCCGCAGGCTTCCCAACTTGGGTCCTCCCTGGCCGGCTGAGATCACACCCTGGCTGCGCTTTGCCTGTCCGAGGAGTAACCGTACCTTTCTGTGCATTGCAGATCACCCAGAAGTCTCTCGGCGTCCCCCAGGCGAGCCCCCACCCCCACCCCCCGACCGACGGACCCCCCGGGAACACGAGGACGGCGCTGGATGGCTTTTAAGCCCCCGTCTCCAGGGAGCCTGAGCACACTGGGGGAGTAACCGCCGCGTGCCGACGGTGAGGCAGCCTTGGATGCAGCTAAGGACAATGCAGACCATCAAGAAGGAGCAGGCATCCCTGGACCCCAGCGGCCCCGGGGACAAGATGATGGCGCTTCACCCCGCCACGCTGACCGAAGTGCCTTCGGAGGAGTTGGCCGCCGGCGAGGAGCTGCTGCTGGGCGAAGGCAGCGTGGGCAAGAGCAAGTCGTCGGCGTGCCGGCGGAAGCGCGAGTTTATTCCCGACGACAAGAAGGATGCCATGTACTGGGAGAAGAGGCGCAAGAACAACGAGGCGGCCAAGAGGTCCCGCGAGAAGCGGCGGCTCAACGACCTGGTCTTGGAGAACAAGCTCATCGCGCTGGGCGAGGAGAACGCCACGCTGAAGGCCGAGCTGCTGTCGCTGAAGCTCAAGTTCGGCCTCATCAGCGCCGCGGCGTACGCGCAGGAGATCCAGAAGCTGAGCAGTTCCAGCGCCGTGTATTTTCAGGAGTACGCGGCCGCCAAGGCCGGCGCGAGCGCCTTTGCAGAGGAGCAGGACCCCGCGGGGGCAGCGGCGGCGGCGGCGGCGGCGGCAGCAGGTGCAGGCAGCTGCATCTCGGTCATCAAACACTCCCCGCAGAGCTCGCTGTCCGACCTGTCGGAGGCGTCCCCCGGGGAGCACACGCAGGGCAGCCCCGCGCCGCAGGACAAGTTCCAGGCCATCAAGCAAGAGCCCGTGGAACTCGAAAGCTACGCCCGTGAGCCCCGGGACGACCGGGGCCCCTACGCCGTGTCCATCTTCCAGAACTACATGGGGGGCTCGTTCCCCGGCTACTCCCCTCCGCTGCTGCAGGCCAACCGCTCCTCTAGTAACTCCCCGCGGACGTCCGAGACCGACGACGGCGTGGTGGGGAAGGCGTCCGACGGCGAGGACGAGCAGCAGGTGCCCAAGGGCCCCATCCACTCCCCGGTGGAGCTCCCGCGAGTGCACGCGGCCATGGTCAAGGTCCCCGAGGTGAACTCCGCGCTGCCACACAAGCTGCGCATCAAAGCCAAAGCCATGCAGATCAAAGTGGAAGCCTTGGACAACGACTTCGAGGCCGCGCACAAACTGTCCTCACCCGTGGACGTGGCACCCAGAAGACACTTGGACCTGGACAAGCACGCGGCCCCGGGCGTGGTGCATTCCTCCGCTCTCACTCCTTTCTCGGTGCAGGTGACAAACATCCAGGATTGGTCTCTCAAAGCCGAGCACTGGCACCCGAAAGAACTGAGCGGCAAAACCCAGAACGGTTTCAAGACAGAAGTGGTGGAAATTAAAGACGATGGCTATAAGGTCTCGGACCCAGAGAATTTGTACCTGAAGCAGGGCATAGCAAACTTATCCGCAGAGGTTGTCTCGCTCAAGAGACTTATAGCGGCACAGCCCATCTCGGCTTCGGACTCTCGGTAAGCGGCTGCCAAGGAGGAGCGGGGCGCCGCGGGGGCAACCTCGCGGCAGTAGCCCCGTACGTTTTTGTATTATGCCGAGTCTCCACTGGACCTGTGATGTCATTTCACTGTAACGTGCACATGTTGTCTGTCTGGTGTCTCTTCTGTGCACACACCATGATGAAGATTAGATTGTGTTCCCGCTCTGCCTTGTGTATAGACGGTCCATACAAAGGCTGTATATATTGAACATTATTTTTGTTGTTCTGTTATAAAGCGTGGAAGTTACCGGTTTCAATAAAGGATTGGTGACAAACACAAAACTTCTGCACTGTTGCATTTGGTTTATGGGAAAAGAAAAGCAATTTGAAGTGACAAAAAAAAAAAAAAAAAAGGTGCTAAAATGTCCTGCTTTTGACTTGTGTAGGATAGGGGAATTTTCTTCCCAAAAGGACAAGTGGGGTAAGTTCAGCAGGTGACTGGTTTTTGCAGGCTATGAAAACCTTTAAAGTCTTCTAATGAGAGGAAAAAAACCTAGCAGTGAATTTTCTTGCATTTGAGACTAGTTGACAGAATCACTATTTTTTAAAAGTTTTCTCAGTTATTTTAAGTAGAGAAATTTAAGTTGTTCGGTGTCAGCCTCCCGTTAGTCATCTCTTTCAAGTGTAACACAAGGATCTGGCTAGTTGAGTCACTGACCCACTTTATTAGTTGAAAGGCTATTTGAAAAGAGCGGCCAGAAACTAAGAGTAAAGGTGTTTTTACGTTCTTTCGGTCTCAGTTCTAGAGCACAGCAGTCCAGGGCATTCAGCTAAATCTTGTTTTTATTTAGTTTCCAAAGTTTCAAAGATCACATCCATTAGCGCGTGTGCACAGGTACACTCTGAGTATGCGTGTGAAGATGTGTTCCTGATGAGAAGTAATAGCTGTATGTCTTTAGATAATTAGCTCCAAAATGCTAGAAATCCAGGAAAAAAGCATTATTGTAAATACACTGTGGATAAAGCCTTTACTATCTGCCCAAGACTCCTCCCACCCCCACCCCCTGTCTCTCACCCTGTGCCACCTTGGCACCTCAGTCCAGCAGCCCAATTGAATGGTCCACCATCTTGATTTTGACTGCCCTGTCTGAATAAAAGCCTGATGTTTGATGTGTTAAAATTGCTGCACTTTCGCATTTTACAAAGGATGGTGCTCTGAGTTCAAACCAATAGCACACATGCAGACGCCGTCCATTTTGCCCTTTGGGCCATGGGCACCAGCTCTCTGAAAGGTCCTGGCTGCTAGAGAAATGTGTGGTTGGGAGAGGCCCAGAGGCAGGCTCATCTCACTGGGAATGTAGCGAAGCAGAGAAAGAGGGCAAAAGTATCGGGTGGAGTCTGCACCCAAAGGTCTTGGACGGCCTGGAATGGAGAGGATGAATCACACATGAAAAATAACAGGGACACAATGTAAAGTCAGGTTTCTATGTTTAAAAAAAAAAAAAAAAAGACTGGCCAAATACACAGCTGGGGAAAGAAGAACGACATGGGGTGGGAGGGAGCTTTACTTCCTGCAGCTTCCCGAGTCCACACTGGGTGGACTGCTGGGCTGTCAGTGCCCATAGCTACTGGAGTGAAGACCCCTGCCCTGCGTCCCTGGTATAAAACCATCAGAAAATACTAAGGAAACTGTTGGTCGATTGTTCAGAAAAGGGATGAAGCTTGTGCCTGGGGGTGCTGAGAGGAAGACATAAGAAGAGGAAGAGAGCCAGGAAGCCAGGTCTGGAGTTGCTTTAAGAGCGAGCTTTCTGACTCAGAGCAGTTCCGGAAGCCAAGAGCCCAGCACAGGCTGTAGCACTGTCCCAGTTCATCGCTGAGTGACACCGGCATTCTTGATGTCCACTGAGCAAATGCTGTTGCCCCTCCTTCCCACACACAAGGTCCCGCAATGTGACGGAGAACATGGTTAAGAGCAAGCACATCTATAACAAAACTCAAACAAAAGCCTCAGAGCTCCTCAAGTCCTGAGTGTCTCCAGAAAGGTTCAGGGAGGTCCGAGGGGCAAGAGTGGACTGCAGTGGACACAACCCAAAGACACCCCACAGGGCCCTCCCAGTGGTGATGAGACTACAGAAAGAGTGGACAGCTGTTCCCCGGGCAGCCTGCCCTGCAGCGCATCTGTCCTGTGACCAGCAGCATCTCTTTGGGATTAGGGTGGTTTTCTTGGCTTGCTTTCTAATTATCCTGCTCATGCACAGGAGATAGGTTCTGTAACCCCCAGTAGATACCTGGAACTATGGATAGTGCCAAGCCCTATATACACTTTTTTCCTACAGGGACATACCTATGATAAAGCTTAACTTATGGATCAGGCACAGTAAGAGATCAACAGTGACTGTAAAATAGGGCCATTATAACTATACACTGTAATAAACTGATGTAGAGTGTAGGAATCATTTATTTCTGGAACTTTCCATCTAATACCTTCAGCGTGCATGTGACTGCTGGTAACTGAGACCACGTGGGTTGAGAGAGGAGCTCCCCATCCAAGACTGAGCAGTTGGCTTGCAGAGCTCTGCCAGCTAGCCTGGGGGCCTAGGCAAGGGGAGGCCCTGCAGGCTCTTGGCCCTGCCCTGAGGCCAGGAAGTGCCTTCTGCCTGCAGGAGGAGAGGAAGCAATCCAAACAAGTGTCCAAAGTGGCTTTCTCTGTAAAACACCAAGGCTGCTAGTTAAGCACCCACTTGTCTGTTATACCACACTTGTGTGAGGATTGTTTTTATTTTTAAGGAACAAAAATTCCCAAGTAAAACCAGTGAACAGCTGTGTAGGTCGCCAGTCCCTGTGGCTATGCATGCCACAGGGAGGTCTTCCATCTGCTGGTTCACTCTCCAGATGGCCGCAACAGCTGGAGCTTGGCCCATCAGGAGCCAGGAGCTTCTTCCAGGTCTCCCAGGCAGGTGCAGGGGTCCAAGGACTTGGGCCATCTTCTACTGCTTTCCAAGTCCACAGCAGAGAGCTGGATCGGAAGAAGAGCAGCTGGGACTAGAACCAGCACCCATAAAGGATACCAGTACTGCAGGCAGCAGCTTTACCCACTATACCTCAGCACTGACCCCCACCCAGCCATTATTAGAAACTTTTTAAAAAATTGTTGGTTTTTTTTTTTGACAGGTAGAGTTAGACAGTGAGAGAGAGACAGAGAGAAAGGTCTTCCTTCTGTTGGTTCACCCCCCAAATGGCCACTACGGCCGACGTTGTGCCGATCTGAAGCCAGGAGCCAGGTGCTTCTCCTGGTCTCCCATGAGGGTGCAGGACCCAAGCACTTGGGCCATCCTCCACTGCACTCTGGGCCACAGCAGAGAGCTGGACTGGAAGAGGAGCAACTGGGACAGAATCCGGCGCCCCAACCGGGACTAGAACCTGGGTGCCAGCGCTGATTGTGGTTGGTTTGTCAAGATTGACTTATTTGAAAGGCAGAGGGACAGAGAGGGAAAGAGAGAAAGAGACCTTCCCTCTGCTGTTTCACTCCCTAAGTGGCCACAGGACTAGGGTTGGGCCAGACCAAAGCCAGAATCCTGAAACTCCATCTGGGTCCCCCATGTGGGTGGGTGGGTGGCAGGGGCCTAAGCTCTTGGATTGCCTTTCCTTGCTTTCCCAGGCTAGCATTAACAGAGAAGTGGTTCAGAGTGGAGGAGACAGGACTTGAACAGGTGCCCATACAGGATGCCAGTGTCACTGGTGGTGGCTTAACTCACTGTATCACACACCAGCCCTTGTGTTAAGATTTGTTTAAAACCTGGTAGATGTTAAGCTCATTTTTGAAAACTAAAAATGTTGCCTCAAAAGTAAGAATCATTGGCAGCACCCACCTGGTTTTGGTTTCCTTGTGTTCAGCAGGGTGGGGACGAGAGCTATTTCCGAAGTCATGTAACCACTGGGATGACTTGTCCAAACTGCCACTAGCACTGGAAAATCTTGAATAAGAAACTTGCCCCCGATGTACAATTGTGTGATACTCCAAACACCAATAAGGATAGAGAAATTAAAAGAAATTTAGATTTATGAACTGCAGTAAAAAAAAATGTGAACTAACTAAGCCGTCTTACGGGAAGTTTCATCTCAAACTCGGCTGGTTGTTAGACTTGGGCAGTATTTTCCACGTAGGTGGCTTATGCTGATTCCAGTGAACAAAAGGAAAAAAGTGAATCCAAGAACTAACGGAAATCAGGCAAATGTCTCAGAATGAGCAAAGGGGAATGCATGACACTTGAAGGTGAGGGAGAAGCACTGCTGATTCATCACACCCACCCCGCTTCTCAGAGCTGTTTGCTGAGCACCCATCACTTGATTGGCAGGCGAGGGGAAGGGTTAGCCTCCAGGCTCACGAAGTGCACTAACCAGACAGGTAGGGCTGCCATTTTGGAGACCTCCGTTTTACCAATTATACCCACTTGAGAAGGAACAAGAGAGAAGTACTTGAATAAAGCCCAAGGTCCTTTGGGAAAAACAGGAATTTTTTTTTTTTAAAGACTTCAAGGGGGCCAGCGCTGTGGGGCAGTGGGTTAATCCCTTGGCCTAAGTGCCAGCATCCCATATGGGCACCAGTTCGAGACCCGGCTGCTCCACTTCTGATCCAGCTCTCTGCTATGGCCTGGGAAAGCAGTAGAATATGGCCCAAGTGCTTGGGCCCCTGCACTGGCGTGGGAGACCTGGAAGAAGCTCCTGGCTTCTGGCTTCGGGTTGGTGCAGCTCCAGCCATTGTGGCCAATTGGGGAGTGAACCATCAGATGGAAGACCTCTCTCTCTCTCTCTCTCTGCCTCTCCTCTCTCTGTGTAACTTTGACTTTCAAATAAATAAATAAATCTTAAAAAAAAAATTTCAGGAAGAAATCCTGAGCTTAGGAAAAGCTAGTGGGAGGGGGCGGGGCTTGAGGTGGGGGTAAGCCAGAAGTGTTTCTGTTTCTGCGATTACACACAACAATTTAACAAAAGGGAGACAGCAAGCAGGAAGAAACCTCTAAATGAATGGCTCCTGAAGTAAACAGATATCTCAGTATAATAAGGTTAAAAAGAAAGTTGTTCTAACCGCTGGGTCAGACTTCCAGTGAAAGAGAGCACTTCCCTTCTGAGAAAGGAACTTTGATACCCTGCCGGGGTCACAGGAAAAACCCTCAGAACAATGATGCCTGCAGGTGCCTGGCACACACAGGTGAGTTGCTTTACAGAGAAAGCGAGGGGAAATTGGTTTGTGCAGTGGGCGTGGGGGAGGAGCAGAGCTTGGGGGTCACTTTTAAAAGGAAGGGGTTAGGGGAGGAAAGAGAAGGGAGGAGCCGAGGCAGCTA